AATGTAATGTAGAGAAATTAGTCCTCTGTCTGAAGCTCAGATATTAGACATCAACAATTATTTAATAGCATTGTCTTGTATTATATATTGATTTAATTCTTAATTCTTTGATGATGCATTCTTAATCACCATGTACCTAGAGAATTTTGGAGCACACGCCCTGGAATTGGTGCGCACGCGTTGGAACTGGTGCGCATGCCCTGGAATTGGCGTGCATGCCCAGGAATTGGTGTGCATGCCCTGGAATTGGTGTGCATGCCCTGGAATTGGTGTGCATGCCCTGGAATTGGTGTGCATGCCCTGGAATTGGTGTGCATGCCCTGGAATTGGCGCACATGCCCTGGAATTGATGCGCATGTCCTGAAATTGGTGCGCATGCCCTGGAATTGGCCGGCTCGCCCTGAAATTGGTGTTGCTGCCCTGGAATTGGTGTGCATGCCCTGGAATTGGAGCACACACACCCTGGAATTGGAGCGCATGCCATGGAATTGGTGTGCATGCCCTGGAATTGGAGCACACACACCCTGGAATTGGAGTGCATGCCCAGGAATTGGAGTGCATGCCCTGGAATTGGAGAATTGGAGCACACACCCTGGAATTGGAGCACACACCCTGGAATTGGAGCGCATGCCCTTGAGTTGGAGCGCATGCCCTGGAATTTAAGATTTTGAATGCACACCCTGGGCAAGTGGATGAGAATGCCTCAGCACCAGAATCATGTTCCCCAGTTCCTCATTACACAGCCTTGCCGAATACTACCTCCCCCTCCCATCCTTGAGTGTGGAGCGCTCCAGTCATTGTGGTGCAGCTGTGTGACTGTCTACTTCCTAGAATTCCACCATGCTTATCAATGTGGAAAATTTCATGAGTGCTTCTTTTTCTGTAGTGAAAATAGATGAAATCTTTACATTTTTTGCAGACAATTTTGAAAAGTCTGTTTTTGAAACTAGGATTAGAATTTTCCTACTTCCTACAAAAATATTGCAACTCCAAAGTGATGAATTTTCACTATATCTTAAATTTTGTGGTCTGATTGTGCACTTTTATTAACAATTAGATGGGAGGTAATTCATCCAATGGGAATTTTGTGGTTACAAAAAATGGGAGAAGCCCTAATGCAGCTTGCAAGATAGATATATTCTGAAACATTCCGTTTCATCCATAATTTTGTTGAAAAATCTGCCTTTTGTTTTGGATCAAGTGAGATTCAACAATATGGCTAAGATATATTATCAGAGCTCATTTTCTTCATTAGTTCATGCAGACTATTTTCATGACTCCAAATCTAACATGCCGTGTGTAGGGTGAATAAGATGTATCCTACCATCATTAACATCTGCCTTGCATTTCTGTTCATTTACTGGTACATGTGTGGAAAACCTCTACATTATGAGCCATAAATAGAGCTTTTCCATTATTTGTGTAACTACAAGATTCTGGCTAGATAAATTAGCCCATATCCAATTGTTCAATAAAGTGCCAGATTTGACCACAAGATTCAAAATGTACAGTATTGGAAATTTGCCACTATGGAGCTGTGAGATTTTGGTAACATGTGGGAAAATGTTAATTCTGGACTTTTGTATAGCTGGATATTCAAATCACAGTATCTGTTTAAAGGGAGTGTCTCGGTAAAAAAAACTTTTCTATTTACAGATTGATCACATTGCAACTTGGTACACATGTGTAAAACAGAAATCTGATACTTTTTGTTCATGTAAGTTTTTCTAAAAAATTAAAGAAAATGTGAAATTCAAAGATTATGGCAAAAGAGGGGTAGTGTAGAAATCTATCTCCTCCTAGTATTTTCTTTTTCTTTGTCATCGAGACACCTATATCATTTGATGCATAAAGACCATATCTAGCTATTCATCATAGCTTTTTTCAGAATACTCATTTCTGTGGGTAGGGGGGATTTTTTGTCCATTATTGGATTTTGCCCAAATGGTATTTGATTTGTTGGGTTTTGCCCAAACAAATCAAATAGTATACCTCTCAATGCTGTAGCTTGAAAATCATAGGAAATAGATTTTTAAGATGGCACATTATGGAAATTTTATTTGTTCAGAGGAGCTAAATAAGTAAAATTTGTTTAAAAAGGAGGATATGCCAAAAAAATTGCTCGATATTTTAGCCCAAGTTTTCCCATTGCCAATTAGTTGCACTTAGAGTTCCAGCAGGCATCATTAGACTTATTCTTGTCAATTTAATGTGAATAATAAGTTATTTATGTGACTTTTGTGATATTTTTATATATAAATATATATATATATATATGTATATAAAATGTTCATTGTATATAAATTCAAAACGGCCAAATGCAAAAACATTACGTGTACATCAGTGATATTTGCTTTATCAAAGGCTCATTGTTTGAAGCTCTCAAACAAGTGCAAACACTTTGCAATAAACCACAAATAATGATCTATAAATATATTTTTTAATGAAAATTTTTAAATATTAGAAAAATGGTCATTTTATAAAATTTCAAAACTGCCTTTTACAAAAATTATAGCATCGACATCCATGGTATTATTAGTTGAATGCATCTTGTTTTTAGCTTTCATATGAGTGCAAACACTTTGCAATTAACATGAATATTGATCTATAAATACAGATTTAATTTAAATAAATCTTTGAATATATTGTTAAAAAATGTTCATTGTATATAGTCAAATGGGGTAAGACAGGATCGCAGCCTTCATGGGGTAAGAAAGGACCAGCCCATGGCGTGCATTCTAATTGCACTGAATTCAATTTGACAAAAGAATATGTTAGTACAATCATTGCCTGTCATTTCTGTGTTTGTGGCAACCCTCTTCTGCNATGTAGGCAGGTAACCTCAAGTAATAGGCAACTTTTTAGACATACTAGGCATTCCTACCTGCTACCATCACTGCCTGACATGTATTCCAAAATGGGGTAAAAAAGGACCGGACATGGGGTAAGACGGGACCGCTAAATGATCCTGTTTTACCACACAAATGGTTCTGTCTTACCCCACAAATGGTCCTGTCTTACCCCACAAATGGTCCTCTATTACCCTACAGTTTATCAAAAATAGTTTTTAAATGAATATATTATTGTATAGTATATGGAGTATTTTGGTCAAAATTTTTATCGATTGCTCAAACTTCGTAATAACTTGTTAGCTTTTTTAATTAGAGAAATTTAGTGCACTATTTTAAATTGCATCAAAAGTATATAGAAAATAGGGATGTCTATTCCCATTAGTGAGCTGCAGAACTATGTGCAAGATTGGCTGGGGGAAGAACCACTGTGTGAAACATGAAAAATAATTATGATCACAACTCTGTGAGAGGGCATGAGCTATATTTGAAGAAGTGCACCACAAATGCAGTTAGCAAGAAAACACATGACATCTGACACTTTTTATTACTGACACTTTATTACTGACATCTGACACTTTATTTTTATTACCAATTTGATAAATTTTTCAGATAATGACACTAATGGAATATACATGAAGCATTTAACAGTGCTCTACAATGAACCAAAGCCAACCCACTATTACTATGCTTAACAAAGTTTTCTCGTGAAAAAACCCCAATGTGACTGATATTAGAGTTGACTTCCCACAACATAAAACAGTAACCAGTGATTGTTTAATCAAATAATGTGTTTCTAGATGTACAATATTGAATATCGAGTTTGTACTTTTATTAAAAACCTTGTAACATAAGAATTACCTGTTGGTCCTTTCTTACCCCAGCCTGGTCCCATCTTACCCCAATGGGGTAAGATGGGACCGGCTAACTTTTTTAAATCTGTACAGAAAACTATGTTAGATGCAAAACGTCTGAGTTGTAGCTTAGAAGCCCATTGCATAACTACACCTTGTGATAGGTTTAGGGCTTTTAGTTATTCATGGTATAGATGCTACAGGCTTATTAGTGATTTCGGTCCTGTCTTACCCCATCTGACTATATATACTGTTTTGAAATTGATTTATGCCAAAACTAGAGCAAGCTCATACATGAGGTGTACTGCGTTAGACGTGCCTTTTCAGCAGCTATAAAATGAGTCAAGAAAACGGAAAAGCCAAAATTAATGATTTTTGACCAAGATGACCTTAAAGGATGCCTGCCAGTTGAGACTGACTTAATTTAATATCATTTCCAATGGGGAAAAATTGATTTAGAAGACAACCATTTCAATTGTGAACACTCATATTTATAATGGATTCATATGCACATCAGAAGTCCCACTGTTTTGTGTTGAATTCTGATATGCAAGATAAAGGTATTGTTAAGTGTGGCCTGAGTAAGGAACATTTCTGTCCACCGCTTTGAGGGAATCAATTTAGAATTATTTGTGGCATTTCAAATGATGGGATGTTCATATTGGTACTAATATTTACAAAATCAATATTTTATATAAATATACAGTGGGGGAAAATAAATATTCATACACTTGAAAAATCATATTTTAATGTATGTAAGTACACAAACTTAACAGGAAAAGTGATTTAAATTATGTATAGAGACACATAGTACTATTCAAAAATACTATCAAAAGAAATTAAATCTCAATGCAACAAAAAACAATGCAACATGTTCACTTTTCGGGTGAAAAAAGTATTCGTACAAAACAATAAATACAAAAGTTGTTTTGTACGAATACTTTTTTGACCCAAAGAAGTTAACATGTTGCATTAATTTTTGTTGCATTGAGATTTAATTTCTATTGATGCTATTTTTGAATATAATGCACCTCTATACATAATATAAATCACTTCTCCTGTTCAGTTTGTGTACTTACATACATTAAAATACGATTTTTCAAGTGTACGAATATTTATTTCCCCCCACTGTATATATCAAAAATAATTTTATAATTTGCTGTGTGACCTTTGACCTATGCTAAGTTAGTTTTCTAGACATGTTTTTAGCTAAAAATGTTTTTTTCCCCATTTACATTAATGCTTGTCAGAAAAGTCCTAGATTAATTAGTATTCTCCACAAATTCTCAATCTTTGAAAAATGCCCATATATTTGAAAATTTATCTAATTTTCAGACTGAATTCAGCCTAACCTAGTCAATATGCATGAATAATTTTTTCAGTACAGTATCTTAAGTTCAGTAGTTGCAGCAGCTAAAAATTGTTAAATGTGAATGAGAGAAGTCATTTCATTTAATTTTTTTAGATACTTGAGAAATTAATCTAAAGAAGATCATTGGTCAACTAAATTTAGTACGCAAGTTCACGATGGCGCCTCGAAAAGTCAGTAAAGGAGCCGCATCTAAATCCAACGAGACTCCTAAGAAGAGAGTGGCTGCCAGTGGATACAAGCTCCCTGATCCAATACCTGAAGGCCAGGTTATCACTGACATTGCAAAAAATGTCTGGGTTCTTGGAAAGAGCATAGGTGAGTTGTCTCAATTGTTGGTTAGACTATCTAAATATATCTGAGATGGGTCTCTAAATAAATATATCTGAGATGGGTCTCTAAATAAATATATCTGATCATTTATTAAATATATCTGAGATGGGTCTCTATATGATAAGCATTGCTATCTTTGTATCAGGTTCTTACTCTATCTTGAGTCATTATTATTCTAATGTTCTTAGGAGTTGGACACCATGAAATGTTGAAGTTTGTAATGGTCCATAGATTTATTATTTTTTCAACTTTCTAGTGAGGAGCAGAATCTGTGAAAATTTACTCTTAACATAACAACTTGTAATATAAGTTGTTGATTGAAAGTTTTATGAAAATGAATTCAGAAAAACCAACTTGTAGGCATATGGGAGAATTTTGTGTGTTCATTCATGAACCCCTGCCTAGTAAGTGGTTCCTGAACTATATTAATGATGTACTTATTTCATCAACTTGCTAAGTCTTCATTAAGTTTAAATGATTTGTTCAGTTGCATTAACTATGGTTTAATTTCAGGCCAGGGTGGGTTTGGCGAGATATACCTAGCATCAAACGATTCATCCCGTGTTGTGACTGATGGTGACAAGTTTGTGGTGAAGGTTGAACCTCACAGTAATGGGCCGCTGTTTGCTGAGATGCATTGCTACATGCGGATTGCTAAACCTGAGCTCATTGATGCCTGGAAGAAGGAAAGGAAGCTCAAGCGGCTTGGTATGCCCAAGTACCTTGGATCCGGCTCCTTCATATACAAGTCGCAGAAGTACCGTTTCATGGTCATGGAGAGGTTTGGCTCTGATCTGCAGAAAATTTTGGAGAAGCTCAATAAGAAGTTCTCTTTCAAGACTGTCTTCCAAATTGGACTCGAAATTGTAAGTATGTAATTCTCAAGACTTTATTCTCCCTGTAGCAGAATAGTCTGTCTAAAAATTTTTTACATCATACTGATTGAAGTATTCATAAGACTCAATTATCAATTGAAAGCATGTTTCTATTATTTATACATTTCTATTTGTCTAAACATTATGTGCTTGCTTATTCATTGAAATGGTATAATATTTTTATTATTTCGGAAATGATCCCATCAAAAAGTTAAGAATTTTATAATAATGTCTCATTGTTTCTCGTTGTAGCTTGATGTGCTTGAGTACATCCATGACAAGGGCTACATCCATGCTGACATCAAAGCTTCCAATTTGCTGGTTGGATTTCAAAGAGGAACGGAAAACCAAGTGTTTCTTGTTGACTATGGCCTCGCATGTCGCTATGCCATCAATGGTCAACACAAAGAGTACAAGTATGATGCAAGGAAGGCGCATGATGGCACCATTGAGTTCACTTCTCGAGACGCCCATATTGGAGGTGAGTATCCAGCCATGGCTTATCTTTGAGATGAGGATGAGAATTGTGTGAATTTATCAACCATTTAAACAACCATTGTTAAGATTGAAAATAGAATGAGAATTATGTTAATTTATGAATTCAAGGATTTGTCATTTCATTGAATTTAGTTCAGTTATCATTTATTTTGGTTTGAGCTCAATTTACACAAGTATTTTCATTCTGGTAAAATGTTTCCAAAAATTTCTTTGCCTTTGAGAAAGTCTCCAACATTATTTTAATAGATTTCAGAGTTATCCACTGAAAGATAGTTTGGAAAGTTGTAAAAATAATTTTAAAATATCTAAATTTTTTTTTAAGTTTATAATGTGTATGGTAATGCTTTCATTTGCAGTTTAATCTTAAAAAAATATCTCGACAGCGCACTCGCGAAGAGGAGACCTGGAAATTCTAGGCTACAACATGACGCAGTGGCTGTGCTCACGCCTGCCTTGGGAAGACAACCTCACTGACTGCGACTATGTGGCCAAGAGCAAACGATGGTACATGGACAACGTGGACAAGCTTATGGACAAGTGCTTCCCTGATGGTGTGCCGCCTGGTCAGTTGATAATATAATATAGTGGTTTCCGCGTTTATTGGGCCATAGGCCTGTCTCTGATTCTTAACATCGCAGAACATTCACAGCTTTTTGCGGTCTCAAACTCAAAACTTGCCTGCTACAATTCTGCTGTGCTTAACCGTCCGGCCTCCTCGCCGATTCTGACCAGAAACTGGCGCACAGTGCTGGGATCGAACCCGCGCCTCTCTGCTCCAATCTTGGTACTCTGTACTGTAACCACTGGGCCACCTGCCCAGTTGGTGATAAATCTTCATGCTTTTTCTAAAGTATTCAGTTGGTATTTATTCATTGCATTTATTCCATCATCATCAGTTGGTGATAACTCATCACGCTTCTTCTAAACCTGTTTTGTTGGTGTTGACTGCTCGTGTGTACACTAGGACAATAGTGGCCGTCAGCACAAACTTTAGGAAAAAAATTAGGATTAATTTACATGCTACTGACCTTGTGTTAAGAGACTCGTGATCCTTCCGTGGTCAGTGGTGCCTTTATCCCTCTACCACCGTATGTCACTCTCTGAGAACATGACTTTCAATTTAAATTAAACATAAACCATTGAGTGTAGCAACCTGAGGACGTTTGTACGCAACAGAGAACATTTTAAAGTTGTCGTACGTGGCGGTAACCATCAGTGCAAGTCATTTTGCGCTCACTAGAACCTATCCTTTTTGGGAAGTAGGTTTGTGACAATATTGCTCCGGTTACTCGTGTCAGGCGGTAGAGGTTTAAAAACGACCAAAAGAAATGTTAAAAGTAGCTGTCGGTATTTTAAAATTCCACTGTCTGCCACTACTGCCTCCAAGCGCCAGAACCTGATGCTTCTTCTAAACGTACGTATGTTGTTGAGGATTACAGGGGCATTGTATTCAGTGGATTTTTTTTTTTTTTGTTCTTAACCTCTCTAGGATGTGCAATGTCATTCATTTGTATTCCCCTAGCGTATTGAAATTTCTTCACTCAATTCAAAATTTATGATTATTTCTTTTCTCTGGCGTCTCGTTATTTTTTTCTGATTATGGTTTTGTGATTTAAATATCTGGGATGTTATTTATGCTGTTACCAGGCCATAGAAACTGTTAACCTGCATCTGTTGAAACGGGTTCACACAAACTAAGGGTATCACTTTTTGTTTATGGTTATTATCAGGTTAAGAAGATTTTAATTACAGACGCTCCCTTATATAGAAAATTTAATTTCAGTGTCCGAACTCAGTGCTGCTGAGTTTTACAAATCCTCCAACGTTGATTGTTTTAATGTGCTGCTGAGTTTTTCAAAATATTAATATGCTGAAATTAAAAATGTTATTTTCCACAGGTTTGTTTGAGTACCTGTCCTACGTAGCAAGTCTGACGTTCGACGAGCTGCCTGACTATGAGAAGTGCCGCGACATTCTCAGGGCTGGCTTAGTAGACCGCGGCTACAAGGATGATGGCAAATTAGTGTTCATGGCTGCGACTCCCAAGCCAGTCTCGAAGAAACCCAAATCGAGGGTGAACAAGGTGAGTACAACACCTCGATCACGTCGGAATGAACGAGTAGAATATCAGCCTGGCAGCCCTGATCTCTTTGCTGAGAGCCAGGATGAGGCTGATAAAGCCATCACTCCCCCCGTTTTGAGTCCTAAGAGCTCAGGTTTATCAGGGAGACGCGGGCCTGTGCGCACCCCGAAAACTGTCGCGGTTAAGAGAAGTGCGAGCGCCGAGCATACGCCTACCCGAGCTAAAAAATCCCGCGGTGCTGCATTAGTTGTAAAAAGCAATGAGGAAGATGACACTATCTCAGATTTGGAGTCTTTCAATAGTGATGAAGTTGAAAAAGAAAACAACGCCCGCAAGGCAAACTCGCGTCCTCGATCAAAGAAGCCCGTTGTGCCGACCGTCGCTTCTCCTGAAGCTAAGACAATCAAAGCCAAGACCAAGAAAAGAGTTGTTGCTGTTCGCAAAAACAAGGGCGAAAAGTCTGCTGTTGATAGCTCTTCATCAGCAACCATGAAAAGCTCTATTGTGTCCAGTATCTACAATAACCCTACCCCTGCTATGCTTGAACTCATCGCAAAGAAACAAGCTAAAGCGTCTGCCAAAAAGTAAAACTTTTTTGAAATTTCAAATCAAACCTCAAAATTTTTTTGTATGTGGATCTTTAACTTAGAGAATTGGGTATTTAATACGTGCGTAGGTACGTTATTAAAAAATAATATTGAGGAAAAATTAATTATTATCGAAACTTTTATTACTTGCAGCAGGTATACTCAGCGTAAATTAGATGCATGCAGCTAATACCTTCATTTAGTCAAGTTCTTGAAGCACCTGATTAATCACTATAGAAAGATGAAATTTCTATTGCTATGAGATTCTAATTGCTGATTAATGAGCATTAAATGATTAGTTGAATCTTCATGACGCATTTTCTTCCTGTTATTTCTTTCTAATCCTAATGGATCATTCCTAGTATCCATTTCTTATGCCTTGATCAGTTAATTGGAATCATTGCTGCGAATTACCTAACGAATGAGTAAACATTCCATGTTGACTCCATATTATCGAGGTAGCTTTTTTTTCTACTTGATACTCTAATTGTTTAAGAAATACTTGTTTAGTGTCAATCAATGTCATGCGTCTTTTTTCTGCTTAGTTTTCTTATAAGTTAGCTGAATATTGAAATTTATTCATACTGAAATGCATTTATTCATCGTGCTACAATTTGTTCACAATTCATGCACGCTCGTTTGAAAAATATCACCCTTATGGTCATACAAAATTGAACATGTAAATGTGGCATGTAAGTTATGCAAGAATATGTTGAATGAACATATTAGAGATATAACAGGTCAGGACTATGACAAAAGTGATGTCACGGAACAAATGCGCAGGATCTGAAGAATAAAAGTTGTTTTAGTTTCGAATTTTCTGCAAAGTTCGATTTGTGATTTCCGCCTGGTGTTGATTTCATTCGTCTTGGAATGAATTTATTAGTGTTTTGGGTAACCACTCGTGCTTCTAATAATTTTAATAGGCTACAAACAAACAACACCCGAAAAAATCATATCGAAAATAGTGCATGGAAAACAAGGGATAAATCTTTGTTTTGAATCACGTATTCAGGATAATATCTTCTTTAATTAGCGATGAATATCTGTTCTCATTGCCTGGGAGGGTTATAATCATTTATCTTGAACGGTATTATGGAATGAATTAATTTGAGGCTCGGTTAACACTAATGTTTCTATTCATTCAGAAGCTACCAACAAGCACGGAAACAAATTTTATTAGCGAATATTCATCATTCTTTACCTCATTGACTTTCAACCTCGCTATGGTTGCTCTAGTTGTGTATTTGGGTGTACACATTATAATTTGTTTTTATTTCTTTTATTAAGTTCAGTACATTTTGTTTTTGCTGTGTGACGTTGATTTCAGCTCATCCTGAAGATCTTAGAATTTGAATGTTCCCAGTTTTCGTTAACATTGTACTTTCAATAAAATGATTCAGAAATATTGGTATTATTTCGTCACACATACATGAATCAGCTCGATTTTGCTAGGAACTGGAAAATTTTCATGGGTTTAACATTTCATTTTTATTTGGTTCAGAATTTTTCTTTTCATTCGCTAAATTTCAATCAGATTTAAAATCATTCTCATTTATCATTATTCCTTGAAAGCTTGATTGAAATTCACGTTTAGCTTTACGTCTTCCAAGGAAAGCCAAACTTGATTCACTCACTGGATATTAATTTTATCATCGTAATATTAATAAAAGAACTTGTGCTGTTAAAAAGCTTCAAATGCAATATTTGAGCTTTTATTCCTGCAGTAAACTTATTCCTAATGGAAGTTAACCCATGGAAATTTTCTTGAAGGGCGTGAAGCGACGGCGGTCTGACGAAGAAGAGAATATCGGGCTCTCCCCCAACAAGATTGTCCGCACGTCACCTCGGTCTCCGTGCAAGTCATCTACTAACAGGTCAGTCAACGCTAAATATTGTCTAAATGAGCTAAAAATAGTTAATATTTTTAATATAATATGAGCTAAATATTGTCTATATAGTGATGCACTTTATATAGTGATGCACTAAAATAAATAAGCGAAATATTGTCTATATTAGTGATGCACTTAATGCCTCTGTATGGGCAGTCAACGCGCACTGGGAGAAATGAGCTCAATATTGTCCAAGTAGTGATGCTTTTTTTTACTTCTGTATGGGCAGTCAACGCACACTTAAGAGAAATGAGCTAAATATTGTCATAATATCAATAAACTTTTATGGTTTATACTGACCCAGTTTGGCTCGGCACAAGCGCGTATCGTTTATACGTCTGCTCTCTGCTTGTGCTGTGAATAAGTAATACTTTGAAAATATTACCCATTTATTTTTTGGGGTGTGTTTTCACTTGGAGCTTTGTCAATCGCCACAGTTCACAAATTATGTGTAAGTTATTATTATTGTGCGACTGTCAAACGTCATGTTAACTTTTTTGCCATATTACCACAAATAACATCTCATTTTTTTGTTCTCTCAGTCTAGAGATTTTTTACCCATTTCGTCTTTTATTGAGCCTGTAGTAGCGTCATATTTTACATTACAGTCCGGTGACTGTACTTCCTGAAATTGAAAAACCTTGTGTTTTTATGTATCTATTTCAGCAAAACTATGCCTAAGATATTATGTCAGTGAATAACACTAATACCCTACCTTATATTTGTCCTACAGAATCAATACAAGATTGTAATAATATAATAATAGCTGTAATAATTGTGCGTTTGTCCTACAGAATCAACAAAAGATTGTAATAATATAATAATATCTCTAATAATTATGCGTCTGTTCTACAGAATCAATACAAGATTGTGCCCTCGCAAGTCGTACTTAGGCCTGAGCCTGAGCACGGTGGCTTTACCAGCCCTGCACTTCACTGACCCCGAGGATATAATCATTGAGAAAGAGAACGAGAAGATGCTGGAGCGCCAGAAACAAATGAGGCCCAAGAGAATGGTTCTGAAGAAAGACACGTCGCTGGATAACCCAACACCTCAGATGTTGGCGCTCATGGCTAAACGTCGAGAAAAGAGTCTTTCGCCCCCCATGTGTAATAAAAGACATAAGCATAAATTGTAAGTAACTTTAATTGGATTTCTGGATGTTATTAGATGATTTTATGGGTTCCTTTTGAACCAGACTGTATATAGATGGCAGTTTTCACGAGATGCTTGGAATTGAATGGATTTTTGCGTAAATTGTTCTATTTTTTGCAATTTTTTTTTTCGAGATTATTAGGTGATTTTATTGTTTCCTTTTGAACCAGACTGTATATAGTTGACAGTTTCCGTGATATGTATTGAATTAAATGTATTTTTGTGTATTTTTCTTTTTTTGCAAGGGATATTTTTAACTGACCCTTGCAAAAAAATACTCAAAACTTTGATGCTCACTATAAATAATTTTAGAGAGATTTCGATATTACTCTTAGCGTCTCGTACTTTCTATGTAAACTGGTCCAGTAGTTGAAGTTCAGAGTATCAGGATTGGAGCAGAGAGGCGCGGGTTCGATCCCAGCTCTGTGCGCCAGTTTCTGGTCAGAATCGGCGAGGAGGCCGGGCGGTTAAGCAATGAAAATTTGATGCAGTGAGTTGCAAGTTCGAGCCCGCAACAAGCTGTGAATGTTCTGCGATGATAAGAATCGGCGATAGACCTACGGCCTAATAAACGCTGAAACCGCTATATATATATTTATATATTATAGTTTTAAAATTATATTTGTTTTCCAACAGAGGCAAAACTACTCCAACTTTCGATGACACACCCACGGACTTGACGCCAGAAATGGAGTCTATTATACGGCGACGTGAGGAACGTGAAGCTGCCGAGCGAGCAGCCAAACACAGGGAACGCCTCGTCGACATTGAAGCTCGTCGGTCTCTAAACGGTGAATACATTTTTATTGTGAATTATGCACTATATCTTCATTGTAACTTGTACACAGCATCTATGTAATAACTTAAGTACTGTAATTCACACAAGGCTCGACTCGTTTATCTAAATCTAATTACGTTGATTTTGATGTTGGAATTGTCAATGTACTAGATTTAAATTCCTGTCAATGTCAATCTTAACCCTCTACCGCCTGACATGAGTAACCGGAGCAATATTGTCACAAGCCTTCTTCCCAAAAAGGATAGGTTCTAGTGAGCGCAAAATGACTTGCACTGATGGTTGCCGCCACGTACAACTATAAAATGTTCTCTGTTGCTTACAAACGTCCTCAGGTTGCTACACTCAATAGTATACATATAATTCAAGTTGAAAGTTATGTTCCCGGAGAGTGACATACGGCGGTAGAGGGTTAAAATGTTCTCTGTTGCGTACAAACGTCCTCAGGTTGATGCACTCTATAGTTTACGTCTAATTCAAGTTNTGTTGCGTACAAACGTCCTCAGGTTGCTACACTCAATAGTTTACGTATAATTCAAGTAGAAAGTTATGTTCCTGCAGAGTGACATACGGCGGTAGAAGGTTAAGTGCCCAGTAACTTAAAGGAACCATGGTTAGTTCATTAACGTGACTTAATCTTTGTTGACCAAAACTTACTTTCTAACCCTCTAAAACAGCTGATGAATATATTTTTATTGCCCAATATAATTAATGCCGGATAAAATATTTATTCAACTCTTCATATTTAAATCATCTCTTCTCAATGATGTTTCCAATTCCATGAAGCCAAAATGACAAGCCATACAAACACATGAACTGTTGTAATTGAAAATGTTATCCAGTTCTCTAATCATGTTCCTGATTTCACAAACGTAGCTCTTATTTCCCTGAAGCCAAAGTGACACACCCTGATTTATAAATAAACTGTTTTAACTGAAAATGTGATCTAGCTTTTGTATAATGTTTCCGATTTCACAAATGTGGCTCTATTTTCTTTCATCCAAAATGACACACGCTGACTTTCAAATGAATCGTTTTAACAGATAATGTTCTCCAGTTCTCGTATAATATTCCTAATTTCACAAATGTCTCCTCGTTTCTCTAGAATGTTTCTCCTTCCGTGAACCCAAAATGACATACGCCGATGTTCAGATGAACCGTTTCAACCGAAAATGTTATCCAGTTCTTGTATAATGTTCCTGACTTGACAAATGCCTCCTCGTTTCTCTCGAATGTTTCTCTTTCCATGAACCACAAAATGACACACGCTGATTTTCAGACACCGCCAACCTGGACGTGTCGGTGCTGTGCGTGTCAGAAGTGAGTGCCCGGGACCGGAGGTATCAGGCTCGGTTACAGGAGCCCTCGCCTCCCGTCATCGCTGTCGACGATCTCGAGAACTCCAACGACGGCTTCCTTGCTTCCCCGCCGTGCTGTGATACGCCAAAACCTTCTGCTGTCACCAACCATAATAACAACTCTCTTAAACAATGTGGGTTGCCTGCAATCTTACCGTGATGTTGCTAATTTTGGTCTTTTTATCGCATTTCCTCATTTATGAAAAAAGGCGCTATCATGCTCGCCATGTCCGTCCGTCTGTCTGTCTGTCCGTTCGTGACTGCACGTTTTCGTTGACGAGAAAATGCGCTCTCTGTCACTCAATGCAGTGAGTACTGAGTTATATTTTTTGTTTCATTTCAGTTCTTGTTGATGTGGAAGTTGATTGATTTTATTGTTGATGTGTTTTTTGTTTTACAATCATTTTACTTCTCTTCATTATTTCATTGTTGCTTAATTTTATTTTTATTAATTTGTTCATTGGTTAATTTCATGTTAGAAACATAGTTCCGGTTATTCAATGAGTGGAATCATTTAATTCACATGCTCACTTAACCATTCATTAGAGGAAGGCACTGGTCGTTATCAGATTGCTACTTGTTTATAAAAGTCCCTTAATTTTGCCCACTTTCTGTCCGGTAATTACCAATGAAATGTCAAGTTTTTCCTGAAATGGAAGAACTTAACTGAACTAAAAAATATATAAAATCAATATTTTTCTTAGCAAGACTACTCTAATCTCAGTTTTGATGATGTACTGAATTTACGATAACAAGTTTTATAGTGGATGCAAGTCATGATATGACAACGATTGCTGTGTGGTTTGTTGGTCCCGAGGAAGTCAAGCTTACTAACGTATAGTTTGTTATGCTGCCCTGCCTAATAATCATGATTATTGTCGTGATGCATGCATAGCCAACCAATAACAGAACAAAACATATCTTGTGAATATTTCAATCAGAGGAAATGTACAGCTTCGACATTTGTTCACACTGTTCATTATAACACTAATTCCACGCACAAAATAATTTTTTGGCGGTTGTCTCATATATTTTAATTAACTCCCCCCTAAACTTTAGCCCGTAACTCTCTTTTTGTTCACTTATCACAGTTCACAATTATTGTTTTTAGCACCAATCCCGCACTGACAACTCTGGTACTCTGCTTTACTCATGATTTCATCATTCCTTGATGCTTGAAACCTGCTCAGATCTGCTAACTCGGTTTATCTGCTATGCTTGTGTTTTTTTCATTCGCAAAGTTTTTCAATTTTTCTTTATTTGTTTGCATCGTCTGATCTATTAACCAGAATTTGATTTTTACGCATTCTAATCCTGTTCATTTAATTATATTTTTCATTTTGTTCTCTCACTAACTCATTTGTTTCATCGTTATCACTACAGCAAAATCCAGCACTGACAACGAAGAAGAAAGTCAAAGTGTTGAACGTCGTGTATGCTCAAAGGTTCTTGAAAATATTGAAGTTGTGAAGAAAAAGTTCATAAATTCTACGAAGAAATCCGCCAATAACACACCAGAGAGAAGAAGTAGCGTTTCAAAGACAGAGTCTAAAAAGAGAAATAGGCAATCGGTCTTGAATGATTCTGAATCAAGTCCTGCCTTGACAGATTTGTCTAGCAAGCGCCGGAGATTGGGACGGAAATCGAGCGTGCGAAACGATTTAGTGGAACCAAACTTAACCTTTGGGGGCACTCGGGCTTGTGCTGATTCCACATCTAAGAGGGCTAAGAGAAAATCAGCTATCTTTGCTCGAGATCTCATCTCTAAATTCATCTTCCCTCGTTAATATTTTTAAAGAGAAGTGAATGGAATGGTTGATTCTTAACCAATGTTTTTTTAGACATTTGACTTCAGAGATTCAAATTTATCAAAATTTTAAGTTGAACCGCTAGCACCGCGCGTTTACGGTGCTAGAATCAAAGTTTGTTTAAATTTGGCAGCATCCAAACTGATATTTTATTTTAAGTGCGGACCTAAACCCTTTGCCTACAGAGAGTGACTAAGTTACCAAGCATTAAGACGAAAATAGCACTGACGGTAGTTAATGTATCTGTAGACACAGGGTTGGAAGACTTTTATAGCGCTAGAAGCGTCAAGTTCTTATGTGATTCATATTTCGTCTCGAGGCTTTTTATCAATGGACAAGATTTAATAACTTTGTTCGACCTAGTTGAACTGAGCGGTTATGGTTACAGTTAATTAGGGATGGGTAGACCAGCGATACAACTGGTGAGATGATGACGTTATTTATGTGAATTATTTATTGATATCCCACTATTGTTAATGTGAAATAGGGATTTTATATCGCTATTTTTTCACTGACGAGCACATGAAGCTGAAGCCTGTACTGCGACATTGAAATTATGATAATGACGTCGAAAGTAGTTGAGGATGTCTGTGCATTTAATGTAAAAGAGAAGAAATTTTACGAATAAATAATTAAAACTTTTGCTTACGTTTTCAAGTTGAACGATTCCTCAAATGCAAATGGATGCCTTTCTAAGCTTAGAATTAAACCTGTTTTATTAGCCGGAAAAATTGCTGGAAACCCTTGTCGAGCATACTTGAATCATGCACAACATCTGCGTCATGATTTTATGTAGTGACGCTTCAGCACTAGATGGTACGCGAGTGAGCTTAGGTTGATCTCACGATCTTGCTGTCTTGGGTTTGGTTTTGTACAGGTTGACAAAGAGCGTTTTCCTATACAGGGTTTCGTGGTAGGAATTTGTTAAGAAGGCATTTCCCAATGCACAGCTTCATAATGGGAGAGAACATTTTGCTCTACTTGAAAATTTTTCCCGAAACGCTTGCTTTGGAAAATTTGCTCCTGATTTCATCGAGTTTGCTGTTGAAGAATCCAGGAAAAATCCTCGTTTCGACTGTAATTTTAGGATTCAAGCTTAAGTGAGTATTAATCTGCTTATAATTTGTTCCCCCATTCTCTGTTTAATCTCCCCACTGCATGAGGTGTTTGTCACTGGTGCGTGCAAATTGTGTCATTGACTGCTTTTTCCTCAAGGGTATAATTTAGCTTCTGGTTTTAAATTTCTATAAACACCTGTGAGCTTTCAATCTCAAAGCTTTCCCGCTAAACTGTTATATATTAAGGGAGTCATTAATTACTAGACTTTAATTCCACTTCATGACTTATATTGCATTTACTCCGATCTCCTAACCTGTTATTTTCATGCTCTTCTTAATTTCAGGTCCTCGCCCTAACGGTCGACGTAAGGCAGTGGAATCTTCTGACAACAATCGCAGCAATACAAAGAAACGCAATACGCAATATTCGCAAAAGCAAGCTCATCACCAGTTCTCCTATTCCAAACTGGATCCCTATGAGTTCATCGATGAAATTTTCTCTGAATATAGTCATAAATCTTACAAAGAATATTCCATTGAGCATTCTCCGGTTAAAGTAAACAGGAGAGTTTGCTCTGCGCGTGCTGCTAAATCTAAATTCAAGCGAGGATCACGTTAGTCAGCTCGAATGCGTTTTGCAGTTCACGTTCAATACGTCGAGCTCGTTTCATGATAATTTTGAAGTCGACCGTTATTTGTAAGCGGACAGAAGAAAAAAGAACTGTTTATTTAATTCGCAAAAGCAAAGGATATCCTGACAACGTAAGGTTAGCTTCCAGCTCCCAACCCAATTCTGAGGAATTGGAATTATGCTGTCAACATATTCGATTCTCTTTAAGAAGCCTATAATGTATGTAAACGTGTTGCTATATACTTTTCGGACTAACCGGTCTTAGTAGATAGCACATCATAAACCTTTTTATTTTTGAAAGACACGATTTATTGTTATCCTATTACCTATCAGGGAATGGGTCCAAAAACTCGCTTCAATTTCTTCGATGTATTTCTGACAACTGATCTAAGAAACGGTCACTGGTATTGTGTGAACTTAAATTTTGGATATCAGTCTGGAAACACTTTAGATTCTTGTTTATATTAAACATCAATAACCAAGTGTCCAGCCATGTGAACGGGAATATATTGTTAATCCCATACTCTTGAATTTCACCTTAAAGTAAAAAACTGAATGTTTTCTTCTGCATGAAACTTTTTTTTTTTTTTGCTTTCAATTAGGATATTGACGTGTGATCTGTTGATTGTTTTTCATTGTAAGGTCTCTTAAGAGATGCAATCGGAAAATCAATCGTGAATTGCAGCATCCGTGGTTCTCATTGAGTCATTAGATTTAGTAGTAGTTTTCTAGCTCGGCACAGACGGAAATGAAGGAATATTAAAACCAGTTATGGAAAACAACAACAATACTCGTTTTTAAACTATGCTAATTAGATAATATCGTGTTTATGATAGCGCATTGGTTTGTTAACTAAAGAGCAGTTGTTGAGTGCAGTATTTCTTGAGCAAGCGTGTCGTTTCTTATGCAGTGATGACCTGGGGCCATACTTTCAAAACTCGCTAAATGAACGTAGGTACTTACGTTCTATTTTCTTATCTATGATTGGTGGATTTTGCTTGAAAGGCCGTCAATAATTGGCTGATGAACTTACAATCTCTTAACTTTTTTTGAAATTATAGGCCCTGTAACATTCCTTCTCTATGTAACGTTTGTCATTTGTTACTCAAGTCACGGTTTTCTTAATGCTTAAGGTCGTTGAATACCACTTGTTCATGTGTACCACTTTTTCATATGTACCACTTGTACATATGTACCACTTGTACATGTGTACCACTTGTACATACGTACCACTTGTACATATGTATACAAGCATGGCGTGTTTTGCATGCGAGTGTGCGATTCTCGCCAGTCAATGTAAGGAACTCCCGAAATGACTCGCCAAGTATATGCTTAGGAATGAAATATTCGTGAATTCGTGCGGAAAGAATTGAAGTGTTAATGTTTAAACTAGATTCGTGGGATGGAAGTCCCTCCAGCTTTATCTTCATGTATATTTCTGAAAGATATTTCATTAGGTATTTTTTAATAGATCGCTATTCTCTTAGTAAATGAAGTGTGTTAACGATGATACAAGAGAAATTCTTCAGAAACTTGGGCAACTTCGGAAAATTTTTTAAGGTATCAAAAAAATGAAATACGGAAAATGCAGCTTAAACCGTGTACCGAACACCGTCATTGGTTTAACTGTACATTGGTTTTAAAATTCCTTTCACCTTAATCGCTGGATGAGTGCCATTAATTGAAAAAAAAACTATGTACATTTTAGTAATCACTCAAATTATTAGGTAGACACTTTTAGACGTTGTCGACCATAACAACGTGCTTCCTCGATCCTATTGTATATTGTTCTTGGAAGTCTTCTATTTCTTGCGATCATTAACAGTATTCCATTACCCACGCATTAGCCTTACTAATCGTTGGACGAAGCATTACTAATCATTGACCGAATCATTAGTAATCTTTGAACGAATCATTTGGTTTCAATATTTTCGCTAGTATTAAAATGATGACCCCAAAGCTACAATAATTTTGTTAGTAGTCTCATTTAACTTTAATTTGTAATGTATGACTAAGAGGCTTGTTCGAAATAGCCTGACCTGTTATTATTATGTAGGCTGTGACTGCTTATGAGGAGAGTCTTTTTACTCACTCAGTGGATGAACTTTTACCGTGAGGTTTTATGAATATTTACAAGTTAGAGATAGATTACGCCAGCCTTTCATGCAATGTACATAAAAATTATGTTCGTTGCTTGTGTTAACTAATTTTTTTTCACTTTTAACTTTGTCATCATTTCAAAACATAACTTGTACGGTATTTACTAAATTTGTACTGTCTTTCATAAGGAATGTGATTTTTGCCAGCTCTGAGATTCATCAATAATATTTAATTTAATTGAATGTCTGTTTTTACCCGCGACGTTTTTGATATTGTAATGTGTGCGTCATCAGATGTATAAGCAAGAATTAGAGACATGCGCAGCTAAACTATCAACCAAATGTCAGTATTTGTGCTTGCTACTAAACATTTCCCTACTAACTTACTTAAATGAAGAAGGTAAATCACATGCAAGGATCATAATTCGACGAACCACATTGAACTGAAAAGCACATGTGTCGACGCTCGGAAACACGCATGTTATTTCCATGGCGTAGATGACAGTGTCGTAGCAGCGGAAGCTCTGCGTCTGAATTTCTCTGTATCCAGTCAGGTTTTTATTTGGTCGTAACGGCCAAGTTGCGCACATCTTCCTGTCCACTAGCCAACATTTTATGTACATTTCACTGTCACTCACTGCTATTGTTGTTAAATGTATAGAGGTTTCGTTTACTTGTTTAACATCACCTACCGATAACCGTGGAAGAATAATGGAATGGACGGTTATCGGCTGGTGATGTTAACCGTAGAACTGTAAAAAAATGGAAACCCTAACTTGTTTGTTAATACATAGAACATGTCTGCTTCTTATTAAGCGGCAGTAAATTGTAAATATCCTACAACTCGTCTATACCTTTCTGCTTATGAGGAAAGTGTTTGTCCTGCGACTTCAGGTATTCCTGTTCCTACTGCGACTGATGAGCTAAGTTAAATTCTATGTCTCATTGCTGTTATTGTGTGTTTTCATGCCATTTTTATGTTTGCACTTGTTAATTGGTAGGCTTCACGGTGGGAACGTGTCATGTTGACTACGTTAGATGGGTTCGACTGACACCTATTCGTTGATATTGGGTGTTGTCGCATGTAGCCACCTCTTCCTGTATAAATAAAGCTACTTCACTAGTAATATAGTTCTTCGTAAATAAATTGACCGATGTAATTTTTTCGATCCTTCCCTAACCTGATCCTAGTTTACTCAGACATGAAATTCTTAAAAAAAAAGTTTCGAGGTCCGAAAAAAAAGTTTCTGTGTAGTTAGAAGTTCTCTACATAGTGAACTCTTTGTGGGTCATCAACTTAACAATTCATCACGCGTCAAACTTGAGATTAAATTGTTAGATTGAGATTAAATTCGAGTACTTGAGATTACATTCAAGTTGGGACAAGTACAAACCATGTTTCATACAACGTAATATCGGATGGTTCCACATTAGTTTATAATTGTAAATTATAAACAGCAAATTTACCTAATCGAGTTTGACAAGACCCCAGAGTCTCCACCTTTATGAGGTCATCGGCGTTCCAAAGAAGCGATAGATATCTTATGAAAATTGAATAAGAAATTGAAAGAATGACTAAGCTGTTTGAAATTTAATCGTTCAACTTCAACCCTCATAAGTGCGACTTGGACAAGAATGTAATCATTTGTATGAAGTACCTTGCTGTGACGTTTCTGTGGCGACAAATGCATTTTTTTTAATTTCATCGAGCTACCTAGTAGAGCGCTTCGGCTATTAATCTATCTCGTCCTTTAAGTCAGGAAAAACTTCAACAATGAGGCTGAAGGTCTCAATTATCGCAAATTTATCAAATAAAAAGCATTTCTTCGCGAGGCAGATTCTGCATTATGTGAT